AGTCTACTGAACAGGACCGCCTAGTAAAGGAGCTCTCCTGAATGATACCAAAGAGAGCCACCAAAGCTGTTGTGAAAGTACAGAGCCATGGTCAAAGCTGCCGGGAACATTTAGGTTGACTCTTATGGAATGAACAAGAGGCTTTCATTCCATAAGAATTTGATATTAAAGGAGAAAGAAAATTCCAGGCAGAAGAAACATGATGTTGAATGGCCGGGACATATGAGAATGGTGCTAGGAAACAGCTAGAGAGTAAATGTATAGGGCAGGGAAGAAGTGAGGGGTGCTAGAGAGGAGGTGGGTCCTGCATGCAGCTGTGCGCTCCTGAAGGGTTTTATCCGGGGGAGTTAGAGGGCCAGAAAGAGGGAGCAGTGACTGATTACCTGTGAAATAAGCCAAAAGGTCTCTCTGTGAACACTGGCTCTTCTGATGTCAGCTGGGGCAGTGCCAGGGGGGAGGAGGCCCAGGTGTTAGAGATTGAGTACAGGTGGGACTGAGACGATGCCTTTTGGAAGAATGGAAGTTTTCCTCTGTGCAAAGAGAATCTGAGACCCCCAGGGACACTCTCGGGGGGTAGCTGGAGGGACAAAGATAAATACAATGGAAAAAAGTAGGTTTTATCCATTAGTTTTAAAACAAAGCAAAGTTGTAAGAAATTGAGTTGAATATTATTCTTTTGGTTTTGTGCTATAGGAATTTAGGTTAAAAAGAACCACTGATAGCTAGAGTGGTCACTGGTGGGGAGGTAAGACTTGAGCTGTCCTTGAACACTGAGGAGCAGGTAGATGGGCAGAGAGGATAATCCTTCCAGGCAAGGGAAGCAGGCTGAGAGAAGATGCAGAGGAAGCAGTGGGCAGGGACTGGGCTGTGCGGAACGAGACAAGCAGGGCAGTTGGGTACAGGGTCTGGCTGAGATGTAGAATTTCCTGAGGGGCAGATGCCTCCTTTTGAGACATCAGAAAAAGCTACTCATATGATGCAAGTGGCTCAGCAAGATTATTAAGCGATCTTGAAGTACACAATGCATTCTTATTTTTTATTGCATTCAGTGCAATAAATTACTAAAACTTATTCCTCCAAACTGAAATTTTGTACCACTGATCAACATCTCCTTTTTCCCCACCCACCCTCTCTGCCAACCTGTAATAACTATCAGTCTACGCTCTGTTTCTATGAGTCTGCCTTTTTTAGATTCCACATGTATAGGCATACCTTGGAGATATTGCCAGTTCACTTCTAGACCAGTACAATAAAGTGAATATTGCAATAAAGCAAGTTGCACACATTTTTTTTGTTTTTCAGAGTGTGTGAAAGTATGTTTATACTAAATTGTAGTCTATTAAGTGTGTAATAGCATTATCTCTAAAAGAACAATGTATGTGCCTTAATTAAAAATGTGTTAGGGCTAAAAATGGTAATAATTATATGAGCCTTCAACAAGTCATAATCTTTTTGCTGGTGGAAACTCTTGCCTTGATGTTGATGGTTGCTGACTGACCAGGGTAGAGTGGTGGTTGCTGAAAGTTGGGGTAGCAGTGGAAATTTCTTCAATTAAGATGGCAGTGAAGTTTGCCACATCAATTGACTCTTTCAGTCTTAAAAGATATCTCTGTAGCATGTGAGGCTGTTTGATAGTGTTTTGCTCACAGTAAAACTTCTTTCAAAATTGGAGTCAGTCCTCTCAAATCCTGTCACTGCTTTATCCACTGTTTATGTAATATTTCAAATCTTTCATTGTCACTTCCACAATGTTCACCGTATCATCACCAAAAGTAATTCCATTTCAAGAAAGCCCTTTCCTTGTTCATCCATAGAAAGCAACCCCTTATCCATTCAAATTTTGTCATGAGGTTGCAGCAATGCAGTCACATATTCAGGCTCCACTTCTAATTCTAGTTCTCTTGCTACTTTGACCACATCTGCACTTCCTCCACTGAAATCTTGAACCTCTCAGAGTCATCCATCAGAGTTGGAATTGACTTCCTCCAAACTCCTATCAAGGTTGTATTTTGACCTTTTCCTATGAATCACAAATGTTCTTATGGCATCTAGAATGGTGACTCTTTTCCAGAAGGTTTTCAATTTACTTTGCCCAGATCCATGAGAGGAATCACTGTCTATGGCAGCTTTAGCCTTTCTTAAATAGGAAGACTTGAAAATCAAAATTACTCCTTGATCCTTGGGCTGAAGAATGAATGCTGTGTTAACAGCATGAAAACAACATAAATCTCATTTTACATTTCCGTCAGAGCTCTTGGGTGACTAGGTGTATTATCAATGAACAGAAATATTTTGAAAGGAATTTTTTTATGATTTTTTAGCAGGGGTCTCAACATTGGGCTTAAAATAGTAAACTGTGGTATAAACAGATGTGCCATCATCCAGGCTTTGTTATTCCATTTATAGTGCACAGAGTAGATTTAGCATAATTCTTTCTTTCTTTTTTTTTTTGAGAAAGGGTCTCAGTTTATCACCCTCAGTAGAGTGCCGTGGCAGTGTCATAGCTGAGACTATTAGGCTCAAGCAATTCTCTTGTCTCAGCCTCCTGAGTAGCTGGGACTACAAGTGCTCCACCACAATGCCAGGCTATTTTTTTGTTGTTGCAGTTGTCATTGTTGTTTAGTTGGCCTGGTCCGGGTTCAAACCCACCAGCCCCAGTGTATGTGGCCAGCACCCGAACCACTGAGTGCCAAGTCAATTTAGCATAATTCTTAATGGCTCTAGGATTTTAAAATGGTAAACAAGTATTGGCTTCAACTTAAAGTTACCAGCTGCATTAGCCTCTGACAAGAGGGTGGGCCTGTCCCCTGAAGCCAAGTATTGATTTCTACTCTCCAGCTTTGAAAGCCCCAGATGGCAACTTCTTCCAATATAGGCTGTTGCATCAAAGTTGAAAATCTGTTGTTTAGTCTCAGTGCCCGTAGCACAGTGGTTACAGCACCAGCCACATACACCGAGGTTGGTGGGTTCGAACCCGGCCAGTCCAGCTAAAGCAACAAGGACAACTGCAACAACAAAAAAAAAAGAAGAAAGAAAGAAAACCTGTTGTTGAGTGTAGCCACCTTCATGGTCTTAGCTGGGTCTTCTGGATAACTTGCTGCAGCTTCTATATCACTTCTTGCTGCTTCATCGTACACTTCTATGTTATAGAGATGGCTTCTTTCTTTAAATTTCATGAACCAATCTCCACTAGCTTCCAACTTTCTTCTGTAGCTTTCTCACTTCTTTCGGCCTTTATAGAGTTGAAGAGAATTAGGGCCTTGCTCTGGATTAGTCTTGGCTTAAGGGAATGTTGTGTCTGGTTTGATCTTCTATCCAGACCACTTAAACTGTCCAAATCAGCAGTAAGGCTGTTTCACTTTCTTGAGATTCTGTGTTTTCCCTGGAGTCGCACTTTTAATTTCCTTGAAGAACTTTTCCTTTGTGTTCACAATTTGGCTAACACTTCGGAGCAAAAGCCCTGGCTTTCAGCTTATCTTAGCTTTCAACACGCCTCTCTCACTAAGCTTAGTCATTTCTAGCTTTTGATTTAAAGTGAGAAGTGTGCACCTCTTCCTTTTGCTTGAATACTTAGAGGCCATCATAGGATTAGGAATTGGCCTAATTTCAATACTGGGTGTCTCAGGGAGTAAGGAAGCATGAGGAGAGGGAGAGCAAGGAGGGAAGGGCTAATGAGTGGAGCAGTCAGAATACACACACACAGCGTTTATCCCTTAAGTTTTCTGTCCTATATGGGTGCAGCTCGTGGTGCCCCAGAACAATTACAATAGTAACATTAAAGATTGCTGATCACAGATCACCATAAGAGATATAATAATGAAAAAGTTTGAAATATTGTGAAAATTACCATAATGTGACAGAGGGACAAGGAGTAAGCAGGTGCTGTTGGGACATGGTACTGATAGACTTGCTCAATACAGGGTTGCCGCCAACCTTTAATTTATAAAAAATGCGGTACCTGTGAAGTGCAGTAAAGCCAAATGTGATAAAATGGTACATGACTGTATTATTTAAAAAGTGGATTGTAAGTGTTTTTACCACATAAAAATAAGCATGTGAGGTGATGGATTTATTAATTAGTTTATATTAGTTCATTGTTCCACAATGTAAACATGTATCAAAGTATCACATATCTTATAGATACGTAAAATTATTTGTTAATTAAAATTAAAATATATTCTTAAATGTAATGAAAACCAATTTTTTGAAAAAAGGTTAATTGGGGCGGTGTTCAGGAGCCCAGGAGAACTGCAGCAGCATCAAGAGAGACACGGAAGGTTGGGAAGAGGAGCTGGTATATGGGGTTAGGAGAAAAGAGGTTTGTTTCTATAATGGAAGTCATCACATCGGGCTCAATGAGAGTAAGCGTTTTACAGGCAGTTGGAGCTCAAAAACCTGTGGCCACTTTGATATTTTGAAAACCGCTACAGTACAATTGGGGAAGAATCCAGATTGCAAGGAATAAAGGCAGATGATGAAGAAGCAGTCTCCTTAGCTGATAGCTGGTTGTTTCTGAAATTGTGTGAAAGGAGGGGAAAGCATGTGGTAGTTACAAGGTGCATTCAGTAGAATCCTTAAGGGGAGAATAGGGCATTGAAACCTGCAGATTGATTTCCTTAGAAATTCTTACAAACATGGCCACTGAGACCATATTCCAGTCACTCATTCATTCACTCATTCATTCACCAAGTACTTGTGTGCCAGGCATTCTGGCCACTCCTCCTTTTTACTGGGTTGTGGGCTTGGTGCCAGAGCAGCCCCTTCACAGTGACTGCTTGTGTAACAGTATCAGGACTTGGGCTAAGGACACCTGCAATAATAACTCATCATCTTTTTTTCTCTTAATTGGAGCTAAGGTTGTTTTCCTTCCTTCCCATGGGACAGTCATGGGCCTAGTGTCAGAGTGATTCCAGCCATGTGTTCTGCGTGCTTCTGGATATTAACACTGTAAGTTTCAAGAACGTTTTTTAACCATATGCTGTTTTTTATGGTCACAACAGGTACAGTGGAATCTCCAGCTTTTAGAGGTCCCGCCCCAAACTCAGTTTGATTACACAGTCACCAATCTAGCTGGTGGCCCGAAACCACATTCTCCTTATGACTCTGAGTACCAGGAGACCATCCTGAAGGTGAGCAAGGCCTCCTTGATCTGCGAGCTCATTGCAAAGCTTCATTGATTTTCTTAGGGCTGCATTCACAGGCTGTCAGGTGTTTCCAGTCTTCTCTCTTTTCTCCCCCACCGTAGGGGGGCATGTTTGCTGGGCAGCTGACCAAAGTGGGCATGCAGCAGATGTTTGCCCTGGGAGAGCGACTGAGGAAGAACTATGTCGAGAACATCCCCTTTCTCTCACCAACGTTCAACCCACAGGAAGTCTTGTGAGTCACTTGAAAAAGGGATGTTGTACACGATTTGAGGTCTTAAGAATGAGGAGACATGTCCTAAACCCTTAGATGATTCCCAAGGTACTTTGGGGGGACAACTTGTCACAATGCAGGATCCTGTGAACAGGTGGTGGGTGGAGGTCACATTCATTGGCCTTCCAGACTCTTAGGGGCAGCCACTGCACAGAGAGGTAAAGCGTTCTTCCTGGCCCCATAATTCCCCTTACACAGTTTTAAAAGACTCTTGGCTACTCTTGTATATAACTAAATGTTCCTTTTATGAGTGTCTCTACCTTTAAAATTTTTTTTCAGTGTTCGTTCCACTAACATATATCGGAATCTGGAGTCTACCCGTTGTTTGCTGGCAGGGCTTTTCCAGCGTCAGACAGAAGGTTCGTATAGAAGTCAGCTGCTGTCCCAGAAGCTTGCTCTTCTCACTTCTGAAGCCCCTGTCCCTTTTTTGGTGACTGTTCACTTGGCTTCTTCTCTCCTGCACATATGCCGTCCCTGGTGTTCTTATACTAGTGGGCCCTTACCTGTCTGGCCTTGAGTTCTGTCATTACCAGCCTGACCTCCACACCAACAGCAATGCGTCAGCTGCTCTGATGTCCCTCTGCTCCTACCTCCTTCTCTCAAGCTTCTGCACAAGTGCACAAGGAAGTCCTAACCAAGTATTGTGAAATTTGGGGGCCTTTTTGCTTAGGTAAGAAACTGTTGCCAAGGAAGGAGGGGAGGAGGGACATTTTAGACAGGACCTGAGACTATTGCTACTGGTTTTTTGTTTGTTGAGACAGAGTCTTACTACGTCACCCTTGGTAGAGTGCTATAGTGTCACAGCTCACAGCAACCTCAAACTCTTGGGCTTAAGTGATTCTCTTGTGTCAGACTCCCAAATAGCTGGGGCTATAGGTGCCTGCCACAGTGCCTGGCTTTTTTTTTTTTTTTTTTTTGAGGTAGAGTCTCACTAAGTCACCCTTGGGTGAGTGCAATGGTGTCACAGTTCATAGCAACCTCAAACCCCTGGGCCCAAGCGATTCTCCCACCTTAGCCTCCCAAGCAGCTGGGACTACTGGTGCCTGCCATAATGCCTGGCTATTTTTTTGTTGCAGTTGTTATTGTTGGTTAGCTGGCCCAGGCCGGGATCGAACCTGCCAGCCTGGATGTATGTGGCAGGCACTCTACCTACTGAGCTATAGGTGCCGCCCCACCTGGCTATTTTTTTGTTGTAGTTGTTATTGTTGGTTAGCTGGCCCAGGCCGGTTCAAACCCTCCAGCCTCAGTGCATGTAGCCAGCGCCCTACTCACTGAGCTATGGGTGCCGAACCTGTTGCTACTGTTTTGATCTTGGTGACAGTCTGCAGCATGACCCAGATGGCATTAACTGTATTCTGTCCAACCTTTCCTCTTTGAGAAAGTCTATTGAGTTTGGGTTTTGGCATATGCAGCCAGTGAAAGATTGCAGTCAGTGGTTCCCAATCTTTTCACCCCTTTGGCCATCACTGAAGCTACATTTTGTCATTTGTACTCATTTGTCTGAATTTGAGATGGCCATGACCTCACTAAAATGGTGCTCTAAGGCAAAGGTTCTTATATTTTGTTTAGCTTCTTTAGGAGTATCTCAAATAGAAACAAAATTTCTGTTAAACCCTTAAGAAATATGTAAGATAATAGAAACTTCAGGAAAGAGGAGGCTGGTCTTGCCCCCAGGTGGGTTGGGTGCTGATGCTAGTTCTGGCCAAAGTTGGCTGCTGCACACAACAGCATACTTCTAGGTAACATAAACAAGACAGGCTCATCTTACTTCTTGGAAGTCCTTGAATTCAGGAATAACCCACAATGCCTGGTCTTCTCAAAGCTCTCACTTGCTCAGCTTCTAAAAGGCTGAGCCCTCTTCTTAGGAACTCTTCTAAGGAACTTCTTGGTGGCACTCTTATCCACAGGCAGATCCTAGACTGAGGCTGCCCTAGCTTTCCAGCAGGGAAGGAAATGGTTTTATCACTAGTCTCAGCTCTGGCTGTCTGGGTAGAAGCTCCTTGCTGTGGACCCAGAGGTATTGGGACTTAAGTTTGATTTCTGTCACAGCTACCTCAATGCCTTTCCCAGTATCAAGGGACTTGAACAGACCAAAGAATCCCAGAAGGCTCCACCATAAGGGAAATGATGGGACTTTGGGATACTGCTTTAAGAGTCAAATTCAGGAGAATCCCAGAGGTTTCTGGGTAAGGTACAGAGAATCAGGCTACAGGGAAAGCTGACATTGTTGGTCTGCCCCATTTGGTCTGTCATTTATTCAACACGTATTCAAGTGTCTTACCCAAGTGTGCCTTATTTATCATAAACCGTATGTCTAATCTCCAGGCACCAATATCAGACTCCAGATGGAAATATTAGAGGTTTATAGTTGTTGGTTCAACTATATTATAGAGGTTCAAATAATAGTTATTGTTATTCCAACACTTAAAGGACTTAGTACAGTCATTCCTTGGTATCTGTAGGAGGTTGGTTCCAGGAGTTCCCCCACACCCCATGGATACGAAAATTTTCAGATGCTCCAGTCCCTCATATAAAATGGCATAGTATTTGTATATAACCTATATTCATCCTCCCACATACTTTAGACCATCTCTAGATTACTTATGATCCTAACACAATGTACATGCTATGTAAATAGTTGTTATAATGTATTTTTAAAGTCTGTATTTTATTGTTGCCCTACTACTTTTTTTTTGAACATTTTTTAACCATAATTGTTTGAATTTGTGGATGTGTAAACCAAGGATATGGAGGGCCAACTGAATGTACCATTGTCCTAAGAACTTTGCATATATAAACTTGTTTTGTTCTTTTAATAACCCTATGAGGTAGGTACCATTATTCCCTTTTACAGATAAGAAAACTAAGACACAGGGAGGCTAAGTAATTTGCCCAGGGACATAAAACTGATAAGTGATGGAACTGAGATTCAAACTCTGGCAGTCTGGTTTCAGAATCTATATTCTTTTATGCTTGACTGTTTCTCTGAGGACAAGTCCATCTATCTAGAGAGGGCCTGTGATCATGTGGTCTAGGTCTATTCTCTTCACAACATGTCCTGCAGAACCCTAAGATTCTTCAGAGGGGTCTCCGGAACTATAGGAAAGGAGGAGAAGGGACATGCAAGTGTGCTATGCTTCGGACCCCCATTTGTAGCCATTACTTTTTATATAATAGTGGAGAGGGGAGAGTCCACTGCCTTAGAAACAATCGAAAATTACTGATATAGTTCCTACCCATTTGATTTTCAAATGAGTCCCAGAGAATGGTAGTGACTTCCCAAGGTGACCCTACTGTTAGTTATGGATCTAAGACTAAATTCTTCTGAATTTTATTTATTTATTTATTTATTTTTTGAGACAGAGTCTCACTATGTCACCCTTGGTAGAGTGCCTTGGCATCACAGCAACCTCAAACTCTTGGGCTTAAGTGATTCTCTTGCCTCTGCCTCCCAAGTAGCTGGGACTACAGGCGCCCACCACAACACCTGGCTATTTTCTTGTTGCAGTTGTCATTGTTGTTTAACAGGCCCGGGCTGGGTTCTAACCCGCCAGCCTAGGTGTATGTAGCCAGCACCGTAGCCATTGTGCTATGGGCACTGAGTCTATTTTTATTTTTAATTTTAATTCTTTTTTTTAGTCTTCTGACTTTTGGTCTGATTTCCTTCTTCTGTCCAGACCAGTAAGTCTGACTGAATTCTGATATTCTAGTAAAGTTAGCGTAGGCTACTTTTAAAGTCCTAGGGTTCTGACTCAATAATTTTGGGAGGAATAAATAGCTCTTTGAGGGTCTTTGAACTTATTCCTAAGCTTTGAGCTCACTAAATCACCCTGTGAATGACCTCAGTGAATTTCAAATTGCTGGTGATAGGAGCTGCTTCTATCAGAGAATCCTGCCATAGGAACTTGGAATCTCTGGCACAGAGCAAAGCATGACATTCTTTGGGCACTGACAGTGGGGAATAAGGGTCCTTAGGGGCTCTGAGAAGCAGCCAGCTGCTGTGAGGTACATGGGTCATTACAAAAGTTCAGGTACAAAAATCAAGAAATGTAAAATCCATACAGATGGAAACAAACGAAGCTCTCCCAACAACACCAGTAAGCATAGCAAGTTGAAACTTACACAGGTGAATCAGAAAGGCTCCTGTTGACTGTGTTTCTTAGAAGTAAAATAAGGGACTATAACACAGTCTGTCTTAAAACTTTTGTGTATAAGAAATGTTGTTTGCAGTCTAATCTTTGGTTCCAAGCAATTCATTCTCTGTTTTTCACATGGTAAATCACCTTCCTGGCCTATAGGATTGGACCTCAGGAAGCAATAAAGTAACCTAGTTTTGATGGAGTCATTGTTTATTAGACTACCTAAATGTTGGTAGTGCTTTGAAGCAGACATTTTTTTGGAAGGGGTCTTATCCAGGTTTGCACCTGCTCTAGTCTGCTGTTTGCTGTGTCCATTACTCAGACCATAGGAGAGCTCCTGTTGCCAGAGCCCGGGCATGTTGGAGGTATTCACTGCTGTTAAGGAGTAACTGGGATGATCTGCCTCTTCAAACAGCTCCATCTCTATAGACAAAGGGAAGTGGAAGGGGTGAGAACAAGCTGAGGCTTTTTCTTTCCTGTGCTTCCTGCCTTCCTTCCAGGACCCATCGTCATCCACACTGATGAGGCAAGCTCGGAAGTCTTATACCCCAACTACCAAAACTGCTGGAGCCTGAGGCAGAGAACCAGGTAACTGTCCCTAGATTCTCACTCACCAATGGGGGACAACCTTTTCTCACCTTTTCTGGAAGGTCCTTGACTCTACCCAGGCCTCCCCAAGCTTACCCCACTGGTGGATAAGAGATAGGAGGGATTAAACTATACCCAGATCTGCCACCAGGTGTCCAGGAAGTGAAGAAGCTCTTGCTCACAGCAGCAGGCTCAGAGTGCAGGTACAGGAAGCCTGGGAAAAGCTACACGCCAGAGATGGAGAGATGGCATATACAGCCACAGTGGCCTCTGCCGTTTACAAAGCATATCCTCCTGACAACCGTGGGCTCTCGGGTTGGGTGGATGAGAAAATCGACCAGCAAATCCAGGTGTGCAAACACAAGACGCAGAGTTCCCTTCTTTTACCAACACACTATCATATGGGACAGACTGGCCTGAGCCAATGACACTTCAGTTCTTGGGTATTTCCGGGCTGTGCTAACACTATATAGTCTGTAGTCCACAAAAGAAAGACAGTGCAGTTTTCAGACAGACCTGGGCCAAGCTTGCATCATTTTTGATACAATAGAAATGCTTGAGTAGGATTTGGGAAATCCAGCTTTTTATTCCAACCCTGGTACTTGCTAACTTACAAGTCATTTCACCTCATGAAGCCTTAGTTTACACATCTCTAAGACTAGAATAATGCCAGCTAACCCCAGTGGGTTGTTGTGGGGAGTCAATGAGATCCCACCTGTTAAATGAAGCACACTTTGTAAACTGTTAGTCACTGTACAAAATAAGGCCTTACTTTTTTGTCAGAGGCCGAAGGCAGTCTGCCTCTTTGCAGCCAGGAATCTCAGAGGATTTGAAAAAGGTGAAGGAAGGGATGGGTATTGACAGCAGTCAAGAGGTGGATTTCTTCAGCCTCCTGGACAACATGGCTGCTGAGGAGGTGGGTGACTGTCTTCCCCAGGCCCTGGAGTTGGGGGAGCCTGGGATGGGCACCTGGCTGGACTGGCTCCTGAGGTAGAACTGGGTGGAGAAATGTGGTGGGTCCTTTCTGGTTTGGAAGCAGCTGTGCTAGGACCTACAGATAGAATGGCTGTTGGGACTAAGGGGTGGGGAGCCATCTGGGAGAACTCATTCACATTTAACTTCAGATCAGTTTCTTGAGGCATAGTCCCCAGAATACTTAATATGTGAATGTGTACGTTTGGGTCAGCAAGGGGTAGGTGAGAGGGAGGGATAGGTCAGGTTCTAAGAATTTTGGAATCCCTATTTATTGTATTACTTCTTGGAGAATCTATATGTACATCAGCATAATTTAAAAATCTGGAAGCCTATAGTAAAGAAAGCTGGTTAATCTTTTTTTTGAGACTGCTCTTGCTTTGTCACCCAGGCTGGAGTGCGGTGGCATAACTACTGTAACCTCAAATTCCTGGGCTCAAGTTATTCTCCTGCCTTAGCTACCTGAGTAGTTAGGACCATATGCATGTGCCACCACAGCTAGCTAACTTCTAAATTTTTTTGTAGAGAGGGGGTCTCACTGTGTTGCCCAGTCTGATCCTTAAACTCCTGGCCTCAAGAGATACATACTCCTCCCTGGGCTTCCCAAAGTGCTCGGATACATGAGTAGGCCACTGTGTCTGGCCAAGAGCTGGTTAATCTTTAAGTCTGTTTTCCTCAAATGTTATTTAGCCACAGAATCTTTGTTTATATAATAAATACATAAAGAAGACTATACAATGGAAAATGTTTCCTTAGATTCAGAAATTGGACACCCAAAGGGAGTATAGGACCCTCCTTTCTCCTGTGAAAATAACGGTGTGCCCTGAAGGCAGAAATGCACCATGAGCTTATGTGTGACATAGATTTATGGTTGTTAGGCAAGAGTTCATATAAAGTATTTGTGTGGCACACTTTTTAGAAGTCAGTTGGGGGAAAATGAAGGCTAAATGGAAAATTATGAATTCCTTGCCTTATATTTTATTCATCCTTTTAAGTTTAAAAAAATTCAAATGTTTTTTGTTTTAGAGTAAACAGGGTGTCATCAGAAAGGGAGAAAAAATGGCCAGGGGCAGTGGCTCACTCCTGTAATCCCAGTTTTGTGGGACGCCAAGGCAGATGGAGCCCTTGAGCTCAGCAGTGCAAGACCACATCTCTACTAAAAGTAGAAAAACTAGCCGGGCATTGTGGCAGGTGCTGTAGTTTGAGCTACTCAGGAAGCTGAGGCAAGAGGATTGCTTGATTCCAGGAGTTTGAGGTTGCTGTGAGCTATGACGCCACAGCACTCTACCGAGGGCAACAAAGTGAGACTCTGTCTCACAGAAAAAAAAAAAAAAAAAGAGGGGGAGAAAAACTGTCTTGGTCTTCTGATCTCTAGTAATAGCGTCAGTAGGGCCTTGGGGATGTAGCTTCTTGAGCTGTTAGGGAGCTCCGAGGAGAAAGCAAGCCTCTGCAGGCTCCACAGATGCTGATCAGCTGCTGGGATCAGTAGGTGAATAGCATTTCTCTTTAAAACTATACCTGTGGCCTTTTCAGGTTCACAGCCTCCCGAGCTGCCCGGCACTGAAAAGATTTGCATGGATGATTGAACAGAGAGCTGTGGACACAGCCTTGTACGTCCTGCCGAGGGAAGACAGGTGAGGGGCCTCTGGATGCTGGCATAAAGTCACCTTTGGTCAGACCTACAAGTGTGTGGGGAAGAAGAGTTAATTGTACCCACTTATATCTGCCAACTGGTGTCCCTGCATGTGAGGAGGCTAAACCCACTGCATTCAGCCTGCTGGCAGGCCCCAGGTTATCCTTAAATTCTGGAACAGGGACTGGTGACTTAGTGCAGCCATTCCGTATTACACAGAACAGGGAAACCACCCTACAGACTTGCGGTTAACCACTCATGTTTTTCTTTTGCTTTAATGTTTAATGGATTTAGGTAGGAGGCTGCTGAAGGAAGAATGATTATTTCTCCCTTTACAATTTACAAATTATTTTCATGTTCACACTGTGAGTTAGGTGTCATTATCCTTGGCTTTACAGATAATGAAACTGGGTCTGGGAGATCCTTGCTGCTTGGTCGGGGCTCAGCTGGCAAGTGGTAGAGCCAAGACTTGGACTCAGATCCTCTAGCTACCGATGTTGTGTTTTCTCTATGTTCCTCATACATAGTACTTAGAGTTCTGTTTCTATCAGTCCTGTTTCCTGACTGCCAGAATAGGAAGTTTCTCTCTTACCAAATTTCAGAAGACGTCTTTTTCTGAAAAGGAGCGTTCAGCTTGTTCTTAGACCAGGTGATGTGGTAGAAGAGGGAGATGGGAAGTGGAGGAATAGTTCTGAGAAAGACAAGTGGTGGGGCAGGTGTCTATGTTGGGTATCAAACATTTTAAGAATTTACACAGTCAGTTCCATAAAAATAAGAGCCCCAGACTGAGTTCCTTCCAACGCCCACTTGTGCACTACCTTATGGCATTCAGAAGGCTCTAGCCAAGCCATGCAGCTTACTGCCACTCCCTTGGACTTGCCAGGTTCCCTTTGCTGTTCATGAAATGGCCTTGCCAGACCTAAATTGTCACTGCCCTCCCCTCCCATCAACACACATATATAGTAAACCTTTTAGGCTGAGTGGGCCATTTGATTTCTTTTGCAACTACTCATCTCTGTCCTTGTAACACGAACCAACCATAGACAACATGCAAACAAACACACAAGGCTGTATGTATTCCAATAAAACTTTACTCTCAAAAACAGGCAGGTTGTGTTTGGCCTATGCCATAGTTTGTTTTCTCCTGGTTTAAATCATTGTAAACAGGACTTGATCCCCTTGGTTTTCTATTTAAATTATCCTTGGTTTTAAAAAACAGATTTTTTTCAAGGACAAATGGTTACAACCTCACAATGCCATCCAACTTGGCTTTGCTGGTACACATTCTTCTAGAAAGTTCATATTGCATACAGTGTTGGTTGCCTACTCTCCATCCAGGGCTGCAACATTCCTTGATGTATAGAAGTTGCACCTTACGCCATGAATAAAGATTGGTCTAAGCCAATCATGGCAACCTTACTCCCTTTGTCAGTGATTGGGGTCTAGGAATTCTTGGAGAGGTTATTTTTTTTTTCTCTTTGATAAAAAACAAGAGGCCCAGAAACAAAGACTTTTTGTATTTTCAAGCCCCCATCTTCCTGCTTTGTTCACTTTTGTGAGTGGACAGATGCACTTTGAGTTATAGTATTCATCTTGTGACATGAGGTGACATGCCTGAGAATGAAAGTGATGGAGCCACAGAGCCAACCCTTGGGGGTACTACCACTAAATCTCTCTCTTTCTCTCTCTTTTTCCTTTGTTTTCACTAAATCTCTTTTTAAGTCAAATATATAAGACATAAATAATAAATGTTACTATTATCTAAACTCCAAAAGAAGGAAGGCTAGCACACAGGACATATAACCTAGTTCTTGTTATTTCTGATCATTTTTCTAGGGGTTTTCTGGAATTCCTAGAAATTATTACCCCCTGTCCTTCCTAGCTTTGTTTTTTTATTTCTCAAGACCTAGTTCTTCATAATGTCCATGTGTAGCTCCTCTCCCACTCCCCCAACCCCTCCCATCTCAGTTGTACCATGTATATCCTGGTGCTTAAAATGTTATTTTTACTCACAGAGAGCCCTCAGACTTCACCCAGGACCATTTCTCTCCTTCCTGCCCATCACTGTCTCCTGTGTATTACTTGTCTTTTTCTCAGCTCTATCTGAGCTTATGAGGTCCTTGGGGGCAGAACCAGCCTATGTCCCTTGAGTGCTGAGTGCCCTCTGAGTGCTGAAATCTTGTTCACTCTTCACAGGGAGAGTCTTCAGATGGCCGTAGGCCCATTCCTGCACATCCTGGAGGACAACTTGCTGAAAGCTGTGGACCTTGCCACTCCACCTGGCAAGATCAGGTGCCTGACACACTGTCTGCTTTAGGCAGGGCTATGGGGACTTCTGGCTGCAGGGAGGGAACCTAAATCTTAAGAGAACGAGAAGCAGGATATTAATTACTAAAGGCAGATTTTTAAGAGGTCACAGATCCCAAAGAGGTTTGCAACTTTTTTACCCTTCTTCCTGCTACTCCCTTCCTATCATGTTTTGAAAATTTTATTTTAGCAAAAAAGAATCTTAAATTTATTTTTCTTTTTATGAATTGAACATGCTTAAAACAGAGCAGACAACATGATATCATACTTATTTGACATTATAATAGTCCAAAAGTAAGATAATTGCTTAGGAGATTGATTAGTTTGAACACTGTATTGAGTATATTGTGGTATGATATCTATTAGGCATCTGAAGAGGCTGATGAGCCTCCAATTCCACTTTTGTGGCCTGGAACCGCAGGTTGAGACCACAGATTTGGAATATTATATGTCCTAGTGCTAGGCAGTAGCTGGGGGTCTAAAGACGAAAATGGGGTCTGAAGACAAATAGCTTCCCCATTGCCTAAGAACAATGTTAGATTCTCAAGAGCAAGCCTGACCGACTGAATCAGCATCTGCATTTGGAGAAGATCCCAAGGTGATTTGTATACATCCTAAAGTTGTAAGGCTGTCTTCTTGAGAGAGAGAGAGATTACACATAGCTAGAAACTCACAGTGAATACAGGAAGCATAGTGGACAGCAAGTTGAAATCAGGAATTGTAGGCCAAGATTTATAAGGCAAATCACACAGATGTTCTTCCCTGTACTTCACAATCCCTTTGCAGTCCTTGCTGCTTTTTGCTACCTTCTACCTTGTGTCTACAGAATACTACAGGATTCAATGCTAGACATCCCGGTTGAGAGTCAATAAATAAAATATTTGATCTTTCCCAAGAGATGGATACTGGTGTCAGGCAGATGTACATAAAAATGGCACCTTTATTACTGACTAAAACCATTTGGAGAATATTTTCAGGGCTAAACAGGTTTATTGATATTCTTTTGAATGAACTTAATTCCCCTGCACTGTAAACTTCACCGACAAGGAACAGAGCTTGCACTACTAAACGTTACATGGCTGAGTGTAGGAAGAACATTTGCCAAAGGCCGGCAGGACCTAAAGAGAGAAGAAAGGCGAGGCCTAATCCATGCATGCTCTGTTTTATCTTTGAAACATACCAGGGAGGAATGAGTGAGGGGGTGGGTGGGAAAGAAGAGGCCAGGAGAGTTACTCCAGTAGGCAGCCCCTCACGGAGACATGAGGCTGGGATAAGGGTTCTCCCCACCTTCTACTTCAAGAGAGTTTTATACCAGTCCCAGCTGATGTCTAGATACCAGCTGGTTGCAGGGGCAGGTGTAGTTCCTTATTCAAGGAGGCAGGCAGTGTCCTGGCCTCCAGAGTCCTGAAGCAAAGAATTGTAGAGAACTGTTTCCTCCTTCCAGAAAGCTGTATCTCTATGCAGCTCATGATGTGACCCTCATTCCTCTCTTAATCACCCTGGGGATATTTGACCACAAGTGGCCACCGTTTGCTGCGGATCTGACCATGGAACTCTACCAGCACCAGGAATCTAAGGAATGGTTTGTGCAGCTCTATTACCATGGGAAGGTAAGACCTCAGAGGTAAGATTAGGTGGTGGCCAGGCACTCTCCCCGCCATCCCCACCACTCGGACTGGCACCAGGTCTCCGTCCCTAGCCCCAGTTCCATTGGTATAGTCACCTCTTCGAATCCTGTAGGGCATCTCATGGCTACGGCCCAGGGTTAGAGCAGAACCTGGCGTATGGTGGCAGGGTGGAACTTGGGCCTTATCTCAGTGATGTTGCAGACTCATTCTAGGAACAGGCCACCTTCCTTCTCTTTTCCTGAGTGTCTCTGCCCAGATGCAACATCCTGTGACACCTGTTTTGAAAATTAACAATGGTGTTTTGGGGAGGTAACATCTGCTATCGGCACCTTTGGCTTCCTCAAGGCTTTGTACAAGTAGATAACAGTGCTTTTTTTTTCTGGATGGTGACTGGGTAGTAGGGCCTTCCTGGCTGTTATATGTGTGCACACACATGCCACCTGGGTCAGAGACTCAGGCCTCTGGGCTCTGAAAATAGCCGAAGGGCACTGTCCTCTGTGCACTTGCTGAGTTTTGTCTCTTTTGCAGGAGCAGGTGCCGAGAGGTTGCCCTGATGGGCTCTGTCCACTGGATAAATTCCTGAACACCATGTCACTTTACACCTTAAACCCAGAAAAATACCACACACTCTGCTCCCAAACACAGGCAATGGAACTTGGAAATGGATAGTGACTGATTTATACAAGGCCGACATATTGATTTTTCAATAAAATGCCTTTATATAATTCTATGCCTTCAGCTTTGTGAAGATTGGGGAGAGGGGAGGGCAAGGGTTAACGCACTTTAACATGAGGTAAGGGGGTGTCCTTTCTGTGGGTATATTAAGGCCTCTTCCTGAAAGGAAGGGTATAATGATGAAACCAAAAGGATATTTCTCTATTTGGGGGCTTGATTCTAATATTAGAAACATCTGTATGTGACACAAGCAGGGGCCACCATGACCCTGTAGAATTGTGTTGGTTTTGCACTGAAGTTCTTTTGTCCTATCTTAATTTCATAGACATTCATTGAGCCACTAAATAGCGGGCAATACAAAGGCAGAAGTTTGTAATAACTGCCTCAAGTTACTTTAGTCTTTCTGACAGGCAGGTGAGTAGATCAGTGATTACAATGCTGTATGTTTTACAATTTTCGCTGTGGTAAGGTACATGGAGGAGACCGAAAAGAACCCTCTAGTTGCACCTGGTAGGGCTGCAGAAGCCGTTAAGGAAGGCTTTTGAGAAAGTTCTGTCCTGATCTGAGTGGAGAAAGGCAAGTAGGAGTCAACCAGGTAAGCAAGGAGCAAGGGTGTAAAGTGCAAATAAAAGACACATGTACAGATTTCAAGTCAGGGGACCTTGCTGGGTAGAGAGATGGAGCCCTGCTGTGGAGGCCAAGGGGGAAGAAGCGAGAAGGACCTTGAGCTCTGTTGGCTGAAGCTCCAGGAGCAAATGAGGCCTCCAGGGCTCCACAGTGGGGTTGGACCACTCAGCAGAAAAGCTCCACCTTTCACTGGGCTCCCAGGGCACCTCGTGATCTCCTGGTTCCTTGTTAATGTTCCTATCCTTCCCCAGAATACATTTTAAACCTCCAAGCTTCAGATACTCACATCCACCTGGATGTCTCATAAGCAAAGATATTTTATAACAGAGTGAAACCCCTCTCTCCTCCCAGACCTACTTTTCCCATAGGCTTCCATATCTGGGACAGTTGCTAAACCAGAAATCTGTCCTTTGTTTCCTTCATCTCTCATTTTCCTATGTCTAATCAGTAAGTATTATTAACATTACCTGTTTGTTTTTGGACTCCAGTTACATCTCTCCAGTCTCTGTCTTCAGTATCCCCTCCCCATCCTCACTCTGCTGATTGCTACTGATTTCTTATTTCACTAGAAAGTAAAAGCACTCAGAAGAAAACTTCCATGTTCCCCCTTCTACCAAATCTGCTAACCTAGTTGCATCGGTGCCCATATGGCCTTCCTTCCTTCCTGTTACTAAGAATGAAACAACTCTGCTTATAACCAAGGCCAGTCTTCTAGCTTTGCATTGACTCCTACAATTATCTTTTTTCTGCTTTGTCAGTTTTTCTCTTCCTACCAGTTTTTCCCATTAGCATACAAATATGCTATAAAATCTCCTGTCTTAATTTTTTTCTTCCACATCTTTGATCTATGTTTTTTTTTTCTTCCCTCTTTAGCGAAACTCCTCAAGGGAAAGAGTTGCCATCTCTGATTCTTCCCTTCCAATTCTCTCTTGATCCAAGAAAGAATTAAGTATTCACCCCTACCACTTTTGGAAACAGCCCTTTTCAAAATCATCAATGACCTCTGTGTGGTAAAACCAATAGCCAATTTGTATTTTTTTTTTTTTTTTTTTGCTAATTTGTATTCTTGTTCAATTTCTGATCAGCATTCTTGGAATATTTTCTTCATTTGGTTTCTGTGACAAATAGCCTCTTGATTTTCCTACAGTTTCTCAACTTCCTTGTTCTTACTGAATCTACCTTTTTTTTTTTTGAGACAGAGTCTCACTATGTCGCCCTCAGTAGAGTGCTGTGGCGTCTCGGCTCATAGCGCCCTCAGACTCTTGGGCTTAAGTGATTCTCTTGCATCAGCTGGGACTACAGGCACCCACCACATGCCTGGCTATTTTTTTGGTTGTAGTTGTCATTACTATGTGGCAGGCCTGGGCTGGGTTTGAACCGGCCAGCTTTGATATATGTGGGTGGCGCCCTAGCCACTGAGCTACAGGTGCTAAGCCGTGAATCTACCCTCTAATTGATAAGCATTGGATTGTCCTAGGGCTTGGCCCCTAAACCTTTTCACTACCTTTGCTCCTACACTCCCTCCCTAAGTGATCTCAAGCAGTACCTTAATTTTAAATATTTACACAATGTCCTCTAAATTTAAACCTTTCCCCCTGAATATTAGTATAGTGTCCAAGCATCTACTCAGCATCTCCATTTGGGTATTTAAAGTATATAGTAGGTATCAAAGGTCCCATTGTCCACAATAAAATTTCAATTTCTATGCCTTTTAAAACTTGCTCCTTCTAGCAGGGGTGTCCAACCTTCTCTCTGCTGCATATGGAAGAATAAGAGTTGTCTTGGGGTCTTGGACCACATTAAATACACAAACACTAGCAAAAGCTAATTAGCAGAAAAAGTGGTCCTATATACTCTTTGTGATATCTGATACCACAGATAAATAAAAAAATCCTTACAAAATCAGCATGTGGCCTGGCCCGCAAGCTGCAGGTTGGACATCCCTGTTTTACAGTCTTCTCCATCTAAGTAAGTGGCACCATCACTCACCCAATTGCTTGAGCCAGGCACTTGGGAAGTACCCCTGCCTCATCTTTTTCTCATATCCTCCATATAATACACCAGTAAATTCTGCTGTACCTTTCTTCAGACCATATCCATATTGACCACTTCTCAAGACTCCCATGGCTACTTTCTTAGTCTAGGCATCATGTCTCACTTGGATTATTCCAAACACCTTCTGATTAGTTTCCCTATTTTTGCCCTTCCCTTCTCCCCCAATCTATTCTCAACATAGTATTGCTTTTTAAAATAAAGTTAGATTATGTCACTCTTTTGTTCAAAATTCTCCGCTGGCTTCCCATCTCAAGGCCCTGTGACATCTCACTGCATGCCAGCCAGCTAGCCTTCTTGCTAGTCTTTGCTTAATGGAAATGTTTAATTTTCTTTTGAATTGGAAAATAATGTATATATTTATGGGGCACAATGAGATGTTTTAATATATATTTATATTATGGAATGATTAAATCAGGCTGTTAACATATCTGTCACCTCACCACTTTTTCGTGTTGAGAACATTTAATATTTGTTCTTTTAGCAATTTTGATGTATATAGTTGCTATAGTTTGAAAACTTTTGTGCTGTCCAAATTTCATGTTGACACTTTATCCCCATTGCAGTGATACTGGGGTGTGGGACCTAATGAGAGGTCCACCCTCGTGAATGGATTAATACTGCTAGAGAAAGGGCTTATAGGAATGTTCTCTCCCTCCAGGTTTTCTGCCATAAGATAACACAAGGCTTCTTATCTCAGGGGGATGCAGCAACAGGGAGACTGGGCCCTAATCTGCTAGTGACTTGATCTGACTTTTTGGCCTCCAGAACTGAGAAAGAATAAATTTCTGTTCTTTATAAAACACACAGTGTGTGCTATTCTGTTACAGCAGCACAAAACAGACTAAATCAGTAATACATTACTATTGACTCTGGTCACCATGCTGTACACTAGATCATTAAAACATATTTCCCCTGTCTAACTGGAACTTTGTACCGTTTGATCAACATCTCCCCTTTCCCCTTCCTCCCACCCCCTTCTTACTAGTCTTGAAATGGAGTAAGCCAATAGCCCCAAGCTATGTCTTCTCCTCAGGTCTTTGCACAGGCTGTTCCCTTCCCCTGGAATGTTCTACCAGGTCAGTTATTTTCAATGAGTGTGCAGCAGGATCTTAGGTGCGCCATAAACATTTTTAAAGATCATTAATTAAATTAGTTTCAAAAGAAAATGAAAGCATAGTAAGTCTATTTTTTTACTCTTTTTCTTAATTAACATAATTTAAGTGTGCTGTGGATGTTTAATGATAGGTTCAAGTTGCCATAAGATAAAAAAAGGTCACTGTCCTAGACATCTGAATGGTTCACGTTTCTCTTCATTCAGATCTCAGCTCACTGTTATCTCAGAAAGGTCCTCCTATATCATCTTATGTAAAACATTTCAGACCCTTCTCCAGCTTTAGTTACACTCTATCACCATGTGTTATGGGCTGAATTCCTCCCCCCACCTAACCACTAGCATAGTAAGTCTTTAACTTAATGTATATAGGTTTGGGGAAACTGACTTTAAGTGAAACAACATACAGCAGGTCCTCAAATAGCATTGTTTCCTTCAGCATCATTTTGTTATAATGTTGATGAGAAAAAAAAATGGTTTTGTTCTATGTCATTTTGCAGTTTCCAAGAACCTATTGATGTCATTAAGTGAGGGCTCACTACTCCTATATGTGACTGTATTTGGAGATAGGGCCATTAAAGAGGCTGTTAAGGTAAATGAGGTCATATGGGTGGGCGCCAAGTCAGTATGACTGGTGTTCTTACAAGAAGAAGAAATTAAGGCACAGGCACAGATGTAAGACCATGTGAAGACACAGAGGGAAAACGGCTGTCTGTAAGACAAGGGGAGAGGCCTCAGAAGAAGCCAGCCCTGCTGACACCATGATTGTGGGCTTTAGTTTCCAGCACTGTGAGGAAATAAATTTCTGTTGTTAAAGATGCCCAGTCTGTGGTACTGTTGTGTTAGGGCACCCTGAGCAACCTCTTACACCTTGTCTTGTCTTTTCTCTCATGCTATTTACCAGTGCTTGATGCTACATTTCCATATATCTGTTTGTCTGTCTCCCTGAGTAGAATGTAGGCTCCATGAAGACAGACTTTGTGTTGTTCATTAATGTGTCCCCAGAACATTTGAATGACACATTCCCACTCTCACTTCTTTCCGGCTTACAATTACCCTCTTGGGTTTCTGAGGTGGCTTCCTGATGGGTTACACCTATTCCTCTCTCCTTTCGCCTCTGAGACCTGGCTGGCCCCTGCTCACCTTTCCAGCCTCACATCCTTCCCTGGCCAGACTGAACTCTGTCTTGAGAAAAGGAAATTCCAATTCTCCAGCCTCTTTATCTCAGGACACATCAATCCACCCCCTACCCTGACAG